TAACTAAATTGTTCTATAATAATTTTATAATGTATTAATATATTTTAGAATGTTCCTGCTTTGTTTTTGTTTTTTATTGTGTGTTTGTTAGCTGCCCTGGGTTCCTGGGAGAGGATGGGCAGGATAAGAACAGAATAACATAAGAAGAGCACTTCTGGATCAGGCCAACGGCCCATCTGGTCCAGCCTCCTGTTCTCACAGTGGCTGACCAGTAGCCTGTGGGAAACCAGCAAGCAGGATTTGAGCATGAAAGCATCCGTCCCTCTTGTGGTTTCCAGCAACCAGTGTTCAGAAGCATCGTTTCTGAATAATTAGGTTGGATGTTAGAAGAGAAATATACACATACCTTGCTACAATATATTATGTGGATATAACACAGCAGCCTTTCATTCATTCTAGAAATCATCTCTCTGGTTCACAATGCAGCCTCCCTGGGTGCCTGTGTTTCCTGAAAACCCCATGACATCCTCAGCTAGCTAAAGGTAAAGGGACCCCTGACCATTAGGTCCAGTTGTGGCCGACTCTGGGGTTGCAACGCTCATCTCACTTTATTGGCCGAGGGAGCCGGCGTACAGCTTCCAGGTGATGTGGCCAGCATGACTTAGCCGCTTCTGGCAAACCAGAGCAGTGCACGGAAATGCCGTTTACCTTCCCGCTGGAGCGATACCTATTTATTTACGTGCTTTCGAACTGCTGGGTTGGCAGGAGCTGGGACCGAGCAACAGGAGCTCACCCCATCGCGGGGATTTGAACCGCTGACCTTCTGATCGGCAAGTTCTAGGATCTGTGGTTTAACCCACAGCGCCACCTGCTTCCCTAAAACACAGGAAGGTGGGGAGGCTGCCTATTGTGCACATGGTAGTTGCTCACTGCTGAGCTTTTTAACTTTTATATAAATCAGTGCAGTTTTTTTTTTAAAGGTAATAGGAAGAACGTCCTTAAAAACAAAAGCAGCAACTGCACCAATGTCAGGTGCCCAGTATCCCAGCTTTCCGTGCTTCAGGTAGAGAGCATGGCACCTTGAATCAGGAAGTAACTTCTCGCATGAGGATTTTTCAGGTCAGGAGGTGCCAGCAGCCGGGGAGTCTGCAGAGTAGTAGTAGTAGTAGAAGAAGAAGAGTTTGGATTTGATATCCTGCCTTTCACTCCCTTTAAGGAGTCTCAAAGTGGCTAACATTCTCCTTTCCCTTCCTCCCCCACAACAAACACTCTGTGAGGTGAGTGGGGCTGAGAGACTTCAGAGAAGTGTGACTGGCCCAAGGTCACCCAGCAGCTGCATGTGGAGGAGCGGGGACGCGAACCCGGTTCCCCAGATTACGAGACTACCGCTCTTAACCACTACACCACACTGGCTCTATTATATTATATTATAATATTATAGTATTATAGAAATATTATAGCATTATAGAAATATTATAGTAAATATTTCATGGAAAGAAGCAGACCATGAGTGGCACATGTCCTGATTTTTACCTAGCCCATTTCAGCGATGCAGATTATTAATCTTGCTTGGAGAGAAAAAGGATGTTTAAAATTAGCCCCTTGTGAACTACCTCTGACCCCCAGTGCTGTTTCTAACTATTTGTGACATGGAAGGCAATGGACTTCCCGACTTAGCAGTTGCAGGGAAGACCAGATCAATAAAATTGTTTCGTTCCCAGGAAAAAAAACCTGGTTATCAGTTTCTCCACAGGAACTCTGACTTCAACAAACAAGGATGCTCACTTTGGGGCTTCAATTTATGACGTGGGAGCCACAGAGATAAGATTTGTTTTTCCCCAAATGTAGAAGGTTGCCCTCTTCACCTCTTCATAACAATACAATAGTAAGCCATAAGGAACAAACACATTTCAAAGGAATCAAAGGAATTCAAAGGAATGTCACTTGAACAGGGATACAAGCCAACTCCCTTTTGCATAGGAGTTAGAGAGTCCCCAAAATGTATTGAAACTATAGATTTTGTGAAGGTAAATTGGCACGCTCTGGTCCAGCTCTCTCTCACACAACTCTGACTCATATCCTTCTCTTATCCTACAGTAATGCTGTACTGTTTTTAACACTTGATTGGGAGCCGCCCAGAGTGGCTGGGGAAACTCAGCCAGATGTTCGGGGTATAAATAATAAATTATTATTATTATTATTCTCACTACCAGCCAGGTGAGGGAGGAGGTCCCACCCTGTTGGGTTGAAATCACGACAGACGAGTGGTAGGTGTCATATGAGAGGCGTCTGCCGGGGCGAGCCCCGGGAACTCTCTTTTATTGAATATTACAAACATTGCCACAGGTGTGCTTGTGGCTGATTGGTTGATACAAACACAAAGCATCTTGTTGCTGATTGGTTAACATAGGTACAAGGCGGGAATTACATATAACCATTTATCACTGATAGATCAAAAGCTGAGAAATGGAGCTGGAACTAGACAGGCATGAAACCTCCTAATTAAATTATAACTAAAGATTGATATTGAAGGAACATAACATGAAAGAATACAACAATCACGTTCCGTAGATGTGGTCAGCAATGCATTAAGAACAGGTCAGGATACACTGTTTCATGAACTCAATGGGAACTGTTCAGAACATTCTCAGACTCTTGTGCAGAAGCAGAAGCGAGACTTCCCAGAATGCAAGAGAAAAGAAGCAATAGTTCTCATAGCAAGACTTCCCACAATGCCACAGTTATGTGCAGTAAGAGAACTGCAGAAAGAAAACTTCCCTTCATCTCCCCTTTCTTTTCTTGTTTGCGAGGCGTTCTAGGTAGATAAGGCAAAAATACTTCGGGATTAGTGGTGTGCCAGCGAATGCCCAAAATAAGTTCGCCAGGGTCGATGGGACAAAAATACTTCAGGATACGTGGTTTGCCAGCGCATGCCCAAAATAAATCCGCCCACATCTCCCCTAAAGTTTACTGTTGGTGTTGCCATTTCGCAAAGTAGGCAGCAAGGAGTTTATTGGGTGGTTGAGGGGGAGAGAGAAGCCGAGAGAAAAGACTTATGAGGCTAGGAACGCATTGAAGGAAACAGCATAGCAAAATAAGTATACAAATTATGACAATAGCATATTGAAAAAGACTACTAAGCCAAGTAAGGTTTGGCAACCAAGCGGTAAGCCACTGGGTGAAAGAATCCCAGAGGCCAGAAAATCCAACGTCCTGTTTAATGTGATGTGTAAGATTTTGCAAATGAGAGATTTGGCTTTGAATGGCTCTTCAGAATTGTCAGTAATATTGAAACAACACATGTCATTCACTTGTTCACAGCCATAATGATGAAGCATGAGCAAATAGTGATAGCAGCACGATTTCATAAAAGTCCATAGTGGAGTTCACTCTGTTCTTTATTCAAAAGGTGAAGAGCTTGTGAAGTAAAATTCAGAGTTTTGCTTCAGAACAAGCTTAAGAATTAATGTTCATACGATTCCGTACAGCCAATCCAGGGACTCCTAAGAGAGAAACAACTAAAGAGATATATTCAGACCTACTGAGAAGAGAGACAAAAGCATCACAATCATTAGTCAATTCCACAGAGAGGCAATATCGAGAGCGGGATAAATGATGCTTCTTGGGTAATACGATGGACAAACGGCTTAAACAGCAAGGTGTGCCATGGCTGATGTATTGTTGGCACATGGTAGGGGAATTCAGCATTCCTTGTGGTAGGACTTTCCATTGGTACCGTTCCGTGGGCTGACTGTTATTTAACACAGGAACAGTAAAAGCAAAGAATTTACGATCTTTCTCCTGTAGGGGAATGGAGAAAAACAATCTTGCAGATCTATTATAGCCAATTGATAAGAATGTGGAATCATATTTGGATTAGGCAGACCACACTGCAAAGGCCCCATGGGTTCAAGGATTTGGTTTATTTTCCTTAAATCCTGGAGAAATCTCCATTTGCCACTCTTCTTTTTATGACGAAGATGGGTGTATTATAGGGGCTAACTGAAGGCTCAATATGGTCTGCCGATAATTGTTCATTCACTAATTGTTTTAAAGCAAGTAGCTTTTCTCCCGTTATGGGCCATTGTTCCACCCATACAGGACTGGTAGATTTCCAGCTGAGGGGAAGTGCAAGCTTACTCATTAAATTGAATGGTAGCTTGTAATTGCTGTAGTAAATCTCTTCCCCACAGATTGAGGTGGATTTTCAGCACACAGGGCTGGATGTAAGCAATGGTTTCAGAGCTATCAGGCAGAGAAACAGGCAGCCACTGTACGCTTTTGGAAGAGGTTTGGGGGCCACCCACACCCCAGACTGCAGAAGCAGACTCAAGGGGCCACGTGGGGTCCCAGCAACTACTAGAAATTACAGAAACGTCTGCGCCTGTGTCAATCAAGCCTTCCAGCACAATACCATTGATTTTATACTTACGAAGAAGTTTCTTTTCACCAATCCTCTGGACTACAGCTAACAGCTGTGGAGGGAAAGAAGAGAGCTCGTGCAAATTAGTATCCATAATAGAAGCAGTAGGATGAGAAGGGAGCACCACCAAATGCGCCCAAGACTCACCCATTTATAATTGCATGGGCATATGGCTCCAGAGTTGAACCATTATTGTGCCTACATAGTCAGGATCCAGAACTCCTGGAATAACCTGGATTCCTTCTTTTGCCGCAGAAAATTTGGGTAAAATTAAACCTGCGACTTTAGGAGGCAGTGGGCCTGCCAATTGAGTGGGCATAAGCACAATTTCACCAGGTAAAACAGAGTCTTTGGTCTGATCAAATCAATGGCAAATTCAGAGGGTGTTTTTTTAGAAAAGTTTGCAGCAGCGGAAACTAAAGGTGGAAAACTCTCTAATTGCCCTGGCCCGAGAGCGGGGCCACAATGGAGTTTCCCGGACTCCTGCATTGATTAGCCCAATGATAACCTTTTCCACATTTCGGGCATTTTTTAGAAGGTTTAGCCTTAGAGGCAGCACCATCCTTGTTGGCCCCCCCGCCAGGGGCTCTGCATTGCTTGGCAAAATGGCCTGGGCGCTTACAATTAAAGCAGTTACCTGTAGGTCTATTGGTAGCTTGAATTGCGCCGGCAAGCAAAGACATCGCATGGCTCTGGCTACCGACATCCGCACAAGCTTGAATCATATCGGCCAGGTCATATTTAGGGCGATGTATGATTGACTGCAAAGCTTTCTTGCAATCGGTGTTTGCGTTTTCAAAGGCCAATTTTTTCATCAATTCATTTTGAGCTGTAGTGTTATCAATCTGCCTAGTGACTGATTCTTTCAATCTATCTATAAACTGATGGTATGGCTCCGAATGCTGTTGCTTAATATTGACAAAGGAGCTCAGCGGTTGCCCTGAAACAGGGACTTTCCGAAAGGCGCGTTGTACACAGGTCGCGGTGCGGCTAAAATGTACAGGTGTCAGCGTCGCCTGGGCTGTTATATCATTATACTGACCAGCGCCATAAAGTTGATTGGCAGTATGCTGCGGATCAGACAGGGCTGATGCGCTATGTTTAAATTCACTCTCAAACACCACATACTGAGCTGGGGATAAAAGCATGCGCATCAGGTCTTTCCAGTCTTGAGGTAGCATTATGTAACCAGTTGCTATGCCTTCTAGCATTCCTGTCACATAAGAGGATTTTAGACCAGAATCAGCAATGGCTTTCCTTAATTCTCTCATTACAGAATAAGGAAGTGACTCATTAAAAACCTGCTGTTGAGCAGTTCCAGGGTGGGAATAGGTGATAGGGACAGCAGACGGCAGTTCACCTGGCCACTCAGACTCCTCCGCTAAGGACAGGAGCCCGTTTTGCCTGGCCCGCGAGAGCGCTGCGCGCACAGCTCCGATAGAGCAAACAGGGGCGGGGGCAGGAGGAGGAGGGATGGGGGGGGGAGGATGCAGGCTGAGGCGGAGGGATGGGGGGGGAGGATGCAGGCTGAGGAGGCTGAGACGCAGGGAGGGATTGGCTGGGCTGCAAAGGAGAAGGAGGCAAAAGCTTTGGGTAAGGTGGGGGATTGTCTGCGATGGCTAGAAGTGCAGGGGCCGAGGGAGACACCCCAAATTTAGCAACGGCGTCTGCACATTTCTGCCAAGTGAGCAGACAATGAATCGGAGCCCTTGGTTCTGTAAAAAGGGTCTTTCCGATCTTTTGCCAAGTCTCTACCTCCAAGGAACCAGCCTCAGGATAAAAGGGACATTGGCAATTAATCTCACATAGCAATTTTTCAATTTCTTTTAAGGAAATATTAACACCCACCGCTCGCTGTCTAACTAAATAAAGCAATTCTTTAGCATGCTCTTTCTGGAATTTAGTCAATTCCCCTCCCATACTCACGAAGTAGCGCGCTGAGACTTTTCCAGTCGAGTGAAGTATGAGGGCTGGCTGCGTAAGGGATCTGGCACGTCGGGGGTCACCAGATGTTGGGTTGAAATCACGACAGACGAGTGGTAGGTGTCATATGAGAGGCGTCTGCCGGGGCGAGCCCCGGGAACTCTCTTTTATTGAATATTACAAACATTGCCACAGGTGTGCTTGTGGCTGATTGGTTGATACAAACACAAAGCATCTTGTTGCTGATTGGTTAACATAGGTACAAGGCGGGAATTACATATAACCATTTATCACTGATAGATCAAAAGCTGAGAAATGGAGCTGGAACTAGACAGGCATGAAACCTCCTAATTAAATTATAACTAAAGATTGATATTGAAGGAACATAACATGAAAGAATACAACAATCACGTTCCGTAGATGTGGTCAGCAATGCATTAAGAACAGGTCAGGATACACTGTTTCATGAACTCAATGGGAACTGTTCAGAACATTCTCAGACTCTTGTGCAGAAGCAGAAGCGAGACTTCCCAGAATGCAAGAGAAAAGAAGCAATAGTTCTCATAGCAAGACTTCATAGCAAGACTTCCCACAATGCCACAGTTATGTGCAGTAAGAGAACTGCAGAAAGAAAACTTCCCTTCACCACCCAGTTGCACTCTGGCACAGAGCAGCTTCCTTTCTTATGTGAATGACCCATTATGGCCCTTACCTGGCTACTTGAACAGTGAGATCTTCCATTAGATTCCCCTCAACTCGCAATATTCCCTCCCTCCAAGAACAAGATATCTGTCCCCAGATGTACAAACAACAGAAGAACAGCTTCCCTGTAGAAAGGCAACACAAGTTAACCAAGACATTAAAACACACATAATCAAGAACAGAGAGCTAAGCATAGGTGCACTTTTACCCCAACACCTGTGCAGTAACAGCTTATTCCTTTTAAGTAAGATTATTATTATTATTAATTAATTAAATTTGTATACCACCCTATACCCGTAGGTCTCAGTGCAGTTCGTAACATCATGATCTCTTCAGTATTTCCTCTTTTTCTTTATGCAGAAACCCAGTCACAATTTGGTACCCACAAGTTTCAACACTTGGCATGCCTAAGTTAAGGGGGTTCTGACATGTTTAAGGCAGGATACTACACTCACTGCCAGAGCTACTTTGCCTGAAGGCCTTTCTCATTCTTCCCTTTGGGCCACTGTAGCACAAACAGCTTTCAAAAACACACATTCTCGCCGCTTGCTGTCCTACACAGTTGTATATACACACAAACATACCACACACACCACACACACACACACACACACACAGAGTTATCAGAACAATTCCTGAAAACCAAACAGTTCCCATCACCACAAACATGCAAAAATCACCAACCAACAGCATTTCAAAAGAACAATGACAAAACTTGCAAGAAGGATCTGTACAGAAAATCAATAAACAGTCTCCTGAACACAAACCCACACCGTGCGGTTGCCTGCATAGCTCTTTGTCTTGGAATTTCACGAAGTCCTCAGCCCAAGTTGGTCAACAGCTCCTTTGGGGCTCAAATCACAGAGTCAGTCTTTGTGGAGTCCTTCGATTTTGCTTTGGTTTCGCCTCTGGTTGTGGATCAGAGGCCCCAATATGCATTCCAGTCCCAGAGCCACACGCTGGGCCTCAATGCACATCTTCAGAAACATACCTGCTTTCTTACGCACAGGGAATTCTCTCCATCTCTTTTCCTTTTGACACCTTTGGGCTATCCCCCTCCAACTGAAAACAGTATTAAGGATTATTTGCTGACTACTTACAATTACCTTGTAACTTTCTGTCCAAACAACATACTTTCATTTTCCCCATTTAATAAACCAGTCTTTTGTTAGTACTTGCTGTGAACAGTTCTTTACTGGGGATAAGGGCTAATGGTATACATGCATTTGATATATGTTTTGTGTGCAAAGTTTTTATTTCATCTCAAAAGTGCATGTTGGGTTTCTCACGGGGGGTAGATATGCATGTGGATTCAGACATACATGGGAAGCAATAGCCACCTTGCAAGAATAAGGTGAGGTCAACCGTGCATCTTTTATAAAATGATAAATTATACAGGGTTCTGAGAAAGAGACAGAAAAATAGAACCTGCTTTCAAAGGGGAATAAAACTTATTGAGATGTTGAAGGACAGGGCTTTGGCACAGCGTAGATTTTAACTGCTGTCATTCATAGCAGATTTTGTTCTTGTTGTTTGGCTTGCTGAATTTTGCAATGCAACTCTCTTAAATCGGTGAGAGGCATTTCTCTTGAATTATAGAAAAGAAATCTGAATCCAGTTTATTAAAAAAAATATGTTATATACATCCCACTCCAGACAGATTGTTGATCAGGTCCATACCTGCCAATACACACTTGATCTCCTCACCTCAAAAGGGGTATGGTAGAACTGGGAAATGTTCAGAAAGGGGCAGCCAAAACCATCAAGGGTGCACTGGGGTGAGGAAAAGGTCGCAACACTGGGGGCTTTTTCGTTTAGAGAAAAGTGGCGTAAGAGGTGACTTGGCAGAGGTATATAAGGTTACGCGCAGGGCGGGCAAAGAGGATAGAGAGACGTTTTCCTCCATCATAATACCAGAACGTGGAGCAGCCAAGGAAGCTGGATGTTGGAAGGTTCATGACAAAAAGCATTTCTTCAGGTAATGCATAAACCATGGCATTCACTCCCTCAAGAGATAGTGATGGCCACCATCTTGGATGGATTTAAAAGAGGTTAGACAAATTCACAGAAAACAAGGCTATTTAAGGTTAGGATGATTTTGCTCTCTCTGCCTCCACTGTTGCCTCCGATATGCCTCTGAATTCCAGTTGCTGGGAATTGCAAGTGCTGTTGCTCTCCATTCCTGGTTGTGGGCTTCTCACAGGCATCTGCTTGGCCACTGTGAGACCATATAACACCGGTCCTGAAAGACCTGCATTGGCTCCCAGCACGTTTTCGAGCACAATTCAGAGTGTTGGTGCTGACCTTTAAAGCCCTAAATGGCCTCGGCCCAGTATACCTGAAGGAGCGTCTCCACCCCCATCGTTCAGCCCGGACACTGAGGTCCAGCTCTGAGGGTCTTCTGGCAGTTCCCTCACTGTGAGAAGTGAAGCTACAGGGAACCAGGCAGAGGGCCTTCTCAGTAGTGGCGCCTGCCCTGTGGAACGCCATCCCATCAGATGTCAAGGAAATAAACAAGTACCTGACTTTTAGAAGACATTTGAAGGCAGCCCTGTTTAGGAAAGTTGTTAATGTTTGATGTTTTATTGTGTTTTTAATATTCTGTTGGGAGCCACCCAGAGTGGCTGGGGAAACCCAGCCAGATGGGCTGGGTATAATTAATAATAATAATAATAATAATAATAATAATCAGGATGCAGTGCTCTTCTCATGTTCTTATGCACATCCCCAGCAATACAGCAGCAACTGGTCTCCCCACTTCTTTCTTTTCGTCCCTCCATTTCATCTTTTGAATGACATTTTCTTAAATTCCAATTAGCACCTGTGGAATCTAATCTTGTTTTCTATTGTTGGTACATTGAAGACCTCCCTGAGTTGATCTCTGGGACTCAATGTGATCCTCTGTTGACCCAGCTCTCGTGGAGGGTGAATTAAGGATTGCAAAAGCCTCATTCATGCCGTCGATGTGGAATGAGGCAAAACACAACCCCTCTAGGGAGCAGGGAGCAGAAGAAGATTCCACATGTATTAAAATATAATGTGAAGTTGAATTAACGCTGATCCCTCCAAAGCCAGCTTCAACAGGTGGGCTGAGCTTGGACTCTAGCAAGTCTCCAGAGATACAGAGATAATATTGGGGCAGAACAACCTCCAATTATACTTCTTTTCAACCCTTGCTATGGCTTAACCTGGCTGTTGACGTTGCAACAACTTATTCATTTTATTTGCCTATTTAAGGCAATTATATACCACTTAATCATTAGTCTTTCTAAGTGGGGCACATAAGAAAAATAACCCATAGAGAATAATGCAATAAAAATTCACCATAAACACAAACAGAAACCTGAACGCTACCTTAAAATGCCTGCTTGGAATAAGAAAGTATTTGTTGTGCCCCTGAAGTTCACCAAGGAGAGTGCCTGTCTAACTTCAGACAAGATGGAGAACCACAGTCTTGGGCCCACAACTCTGAACTCAGCACCTAGTTGAGCTAGGGAACTCATTCCCACAAGAGGCAGAGATGGCCAACATCTTGAACGGCTTTTAAAGTGGACTAGACAAATTATGGAGGAGAGGGCTATTGAAGGCTACTAGCCATGATGGCAATTCTTTCTCTCCACAGTTGGAGGCAGCAATGCTTTTGAATACCAATTGTTGGAAACCACGAGAGGGGAGAGTCAATCTTGTGTACAGGTCTTTCTCGCTGGATTCCCAAAGGCATCTGGTTGGCCACTGTGAGAACAGGATGTTGGACTATATGGGCCCTTGACCTGATCCAGAAGGTATCTCACATGTTCTTATGAATGCTGCACAACCTCTGGTCCTTATGAGTTGTGCAGCTGAGCCACGGAGGTCTACCGACGAAGACTCTCCAAAGATCTCAGTCATCCAGCAGGAATATAAAGGGTCTGACCGTCCTTAAGATGTCCTGGACCCATGTTGTTAAGAGTCTTGTACATTGATGCAAGAACCTTGAACCTGTCTCAGTAGCAGATGGGCAGTCAGTGAAAGCTCTCAAGTGCTGGAATTTCGTGCCAGAGGTAGTGTGTCCATCAACAGTCCAGCACCAGCGGGAGCTTCCAGACCAGGCAGAAGGGTAGCGCCACATAGAGCGCTTGATCAGACATCCTCGCAAATTACAACGGAAGTGGCAATGTTGTTGCATGCTTGCAGCACGTTCCACTTTCTTGCAGGGCAATAGAGCACAGGCTTCTATTGGAACGATCTCGTGTTTTCTTTAGGGCACATAAAACAAATGTAATTCCCAATCTGTATCTTTAAATCATGCACACAACTTCATCTTTATTATTTTTCTCGGACTTGGCCAGTTCTTCATCTTACATTTGGCCTCTCCCCTGCATGGTTGGTCAGAGCAGAAGTCTCTCATTCCACACATCTTTTGAAGGAAAGGCATATTTACGTAGTGTGGACAGCTGCCGATTGATTGTCAGTGCGGTTTTGGCAGCTACAACGGAACATTTTATTTACCCTCGGTGACTGTGGGGAGTTTATGCAACTTATTTATCTTGTTCTAATCTTGTTAATCATCCAATTGCTTCCAATGATGGTCGCTTTCATGATCCAGGCAAGCTGGATAAAAATCCAGTGTTTTTGTAAATGGTGCTTTAATAACTATTTGAGGAGTAATGTGCAGGGCCCCCACACATGAGAAACATCCCTTCTCCTCCTGCTGGTTGAAGTCCGTATTGGCTGGGATCACTTATCTCAGCCACACTGTAAGTAATATAATAACAACCTGTCCTCATAAAACTCAACAAATGATGAATGGAACATCTCACCTCAGCATTGTGGACTGCATCTTTCATTGTACCTGGGAACTGCAGCAGGCAAGCTTAAGAGGTGCAGAGCAGGCTAGCTTAAGAGAACTTTGGGGTGGGTGGTGGTGGTACCACAAAGATTTGTCACCTGAATCAGATGCCTCACACTGTCTAACAGTAGGGTTGGCCTTGGCAGGATCAAAGCAGAATTAGGGACACATCCCTAGTTGGATGGGGAGCCTCATATGCCACCACGAGGTGGTCTTCAACCTTTTCTGAATACGGTTGCAGTATTCTTAAAGGATTAAGCCTGTAGTTTAGGGACCCATCCTCGATGCCACACCCTGGATGTTAGAACAAGAGAACCAGGCAAAGGGCCTTCTCGGTAGTGGCGCCCGCCCTATGGAACGCCCTCCCGTCAGTTGTCAAGGAAAGAAACAACTATCTGACCTTTAGAAGACATCTGAAGGCAGCCCTGTTGCTTTTTCATTATTCTTATTGGTGTTCTGTTGGGAGCCGCCCAGAGTGGCTGGGGAAATCCAGCCAGATGGGTGGGGTATCAGTAGTAGTAGTAGTAGTAATAATAATAATAATAATAATAATATAAGAGCACAAGAAGAGCCTGCTGGATCAGGCTGATTGCCCATCTAGTCCAGCATTCTGTTCTCAAAGTGGCCAGTCAGATGCTGTTGGGAAGCCCACAAACAGCACCAGAACACAACTGTCCTCCTTCCTCCTTGGGATTCCCAACAACAGGTATTCAGAGGCTTACTGCCCCCAGCAATAGAGGTAGAACTTGCCCATTGTGGCTGGTAGACATTGATAGCCTAATCTCTTCTAAAGCCATCCAAGTTGGTGGCCCATCTTGTGGGAGCGAATTGCATGTTTTAACTATGTGCTGTGTAGCGAAAAAGGGAGAGAAAGAGGTGGACTGCCCTTAACCATACCCAGGTTAGATGGCTGCCATGAGTTTGTGGGGCTGCCTCTGAAGACTTACTGGAAACTACAAATCAGTTCAGAATACAGTGACATCTAGCTTGCTGGCTGGGAGTGGTTGATTAGAATATTGTTCACTGGGTGACTGTTCCTGGGCATAATTCAGACTGCTGCTTTTGAACTTCAAAGGCCTATTCAGCTTGGTACCTGGCTCCCTCAAGGACTAGCTCCTCCTCTGTGAGCTTGGCTGCCCATTTTGTTCATAAGCGGAAGCCCTTTTCTGGGTGCCCCAGGCCAGTGGTGACCAAGAAAAGGGCACTCTTCATGCTGGGCATGGCCAAAGTGGATGTGGCCATTATTATTATTATTTATATTTATTTATATTCTATTATTAAATTTATATACTGCCATTCATCCGAAGAGCTCAGGGCAGTTCACAAGATAAAAATACAGGATAAAATAAAATAAAATAGATAGTTAAACTAAAAAAGAAAGGAAAGGAAACCCTACATTTTGGACTCACAGCTGTCCATGGAGGAGCGGGTCAATTCTTTGACCAGGGCAGCTGTCTATCAGCTCCACCTAGTACGCAGGCTGAGACCCTACCTGCTCGTAGACTGTCTCACCAGAGTGGTGCATGCTCTGGTTATCTCCCGCTTGGACTATTGCACTGCTCTCTACATGGGGCTACCTCTGAAGGTGACCCAGAAACTACAACTAATCCAGAATGCAGCAGCTAAACTGGTGACTGGGAGTGGCTGCCAAGACCATATAACACCGGTTCTGAAAGACCTACATTGGCTCTCAGTACGTTTCTGAGCACAACTCACAGTGCTAAACGGCCTCGGCCCAGTATATCTGAAGGAGCATCTCCACCCGGACCGTTCTGCCCAGACACTGAGGTCCAGCTCTGAGGGCCTTTTGGCGGTTCCCTCACTGCAGAAGTGAGGTTACAGGGAACCAGGCAGAGGGCCTTCTCAGTAGTGGCACCTGCCCTGTGAAACACCCTCCCATCAGATGTCAAGGAAATAAACAACTATCTGACATTTACAAGACGTCTGAAGGCAGCCCTGTTTAGGGACGTTTTTAATGTTTGGTGTTTTATCGTGTTTTTAATATTCTGTTGGGAGTCTCCCAGAGTGGCTGGGGAGGCCTGGCCAGATGGGCGGGGTATAAGTAATAAATTGTTGTTGTTGTTGTTGTTGTTGTTGTTGTTGTTGTCGTTGTTACAGTGGTACCTCAGGTTAATTACTTAATTCCGGAGGTCTGTACTTAACCTGAAACTGTTCTTAACCTGAAGCAGCACATCAGCTAATGGGGCCTCCTGCTGCCGCTGCGCCACCGCTACACGATTTCTGTTCTCATCCTGAAGCAAAGTTCTTAACCCGAGGTACTATTTCTGGGTTAGCGGAGTCTGTAACCTGAAGCATCTATAACCTGAAGCATATGTAACTCGAGGTACCACTGTATTATTATTATTACTACTACTACTCCCACAAAAGCCATAGAATATTACTCAGCCTGGTTGAAGAGGAACATTTTTGCCTGGTGCTCAAAGGTATATAATGAAGGCACCAAATGCATTCCCCTACAGAGAGCATTCCACAAATGGGGAGCCACTGCACAAAAGTTCTCCTGTTCTCCTGTTGCCACCCTCCAGACCTCTCATGGAGGAGGCACATGAAGAAGGGCCCCAGAGGATGTTTTCAGGGTCTGGGTCGGTTCATATGGGGAGAGGAGGTCCTTGAGTTATTGCGGTACTGAGTCAGACACATGCCATTCTCTGCCCAGGGCAGGCAGGCAAGAAGTATTATCACAGCTCAAAGACGCATTCCAGTTGGGTCAAATCAATAGAAGAGACTGCGGAGTGGCACCAGTAAAGGGGTGTGGCCTGGGCAGAGTCTCAAGGGACAGATAGAGAGGACCGTAGAGGTTCCCCATCCCTGAGTTAGAAGAACAGGAGAATGAAGCTTGGATGTCATCCCTGCTGCTGAGCAAATGGAGTGTACGTTTCTCCATCATGTGTGTATTTGTGTGTGTCTTTCTTTTCTAGTTCACTGAATCAACTGCCACTCTTCTGCTCAGGCAGATGGCTCTATCAGGATAAATCACTGCAGTGGGTTAGGATTAAATATAATAACAAAACAATAGTCTGGTATGGGCAGCAGGATCTTGGGCTTGGAACCATTTTCAGGGTAATTAGGCTCCATTGTTTCTCCAGTGAGCAAATATTTCAATTTACTCTGTTGCCAAACCAAGGACGTGCTGGGAGGCTGATACGTTATCTACTGCCAATTACGTAAGCTCATGATGCATGTTGTAAAAGACACAGAGAGAGAAAGGTCATTACTCTTAATCAGCTTTTTAAAAGCCATTTCTTAAAAAAAATTCTCTTTGTATATATTTAAGGGTGTTTTAAAAATCACCATGCTTCCATGCATATATTGCTTAACCCCTTGATAGCTGTTAAAATTGCAGCAACCCCTCCCCCCTTTTCTTTTTCTTTTTTTTGCCAAGGAAGCCTGATTGTGAAATTGCCATTGTGGTTCCTGTAAGGTTACCATTAAACGGGTTTTGGCACCCAGATAATTTGGATTTTATTGTTATATATGTAAACACCATAAACATTTAATGGTGCCCTTGAACCCTGGAACCATATCCCATCCAAGATGGTGAAGTTGGCCAGTTTCAGAGGTTGCAAAAGCAATACCACGAAACAATCCAGCCTGCCCCAAACCCCTTTGCAATTCTTACATGAATTCTGGGCAGTTTGTGGCTGCCGATTTGACGTTG